TTTTGAGCAACCTGCGTTAAGGGAGATGATAAGCATGTAGGGCTGCAGTTTGGTCTTTCTAGATGAATCACCGTTACCCCGCCTAGAATTCGGTAGCAGCAGCAGATGTAATGTTGTGTTTGCTAAACTGTGTGATCGCCACTTTCTCTGGTTCAATCTGAAACGTGTAAATAAAGCCAGCATGATGTAGATGGAAAGGCCAGATGATCTTTTACACAGCTCTGGGCAACATGAGTAGACATGTCCTGCAAGGTCATTGCTTTTGAAGCTTAAATGCACCCCAGGATTCTTTCAACTAGACAAAAGGTTGGTCCTTCTTTTGTCTTTCTCTTTCTAGAAGGGAAGGGATTTAAGTTGATGAAGCACTTGAAGTATATGGGGGTTGGGGGATGCTTCTGCATATGTGATAATACTGGATTCTTCCAAGACTCCAGTCGGGGTGAGGGTCATGATCTCTATTTTCCAGATAACAAAATTTAGGACCGAAAGAGGTAAGGAAATGGGCCATGATGGCAAAGCGAGCAGATGACAGAAACTGTGTTGAGCCCAGTTCTGCACATGTGTCCTGCTTTGCGTAGAAATGTTTCTTAGTTTCTCTTGACCTCAGTTTCCTGGAAGTGGAACTATCAATAATAAGTATGCTTATAATATTAATATGCCCATTGGTATATCATCAATGGATATAATTAAAGAGAAATGACTTTGCTGGGGCCAGCAGGGCATGGTGGTTAAGGCGACTGGAATCCCACATGGCTGACCATGGTTTGAGTCCTGGACCTGACAGCTTGCTTTCTCACTTTCCTTCTCTCTCTTTGTCTCTCTCTGGTCAAATTCAAAATAAAATAAATGAATTAAATTAAAAAAAAAAGAGAGAAATGACCTGTAAAATCTCTATCTATTTAGCTTTCTTTTCTTTCCCTTCCCTTCCCTTCTTTTTATCTCTCTCTTTCTCTTTTTTGTTTGTCTGCCATAGGGCATGTGTGCTCACCAGAGAGGAGAGAGACAGTGAGCAAGAAAGTGAGAAATCATCTCCCATGGAGGATGGCCATGCTACAATCCCTTCTCCTCCATTCTCCTCCCGGAATTTTGATAATGCACACTCTCTTGCCTAGTGTGATTTTCAAGCCACTAGGTCTAGGACTTAAACTGCTGTTGTCCATATTGGAGTGCAGCATCTTAGCTACTGTGTCACCTGCCATCCGCCATGTCCCCTAAAATAGAGTATCTTATTTTCAAAGAGAAACTTTGCTATCTAGAGAATGCCTCTAGAGTAATGAAAAGGACAGAGATGAAACACCCTCCGAGAGAACACAGGCAGTGGACTGGCTTCCTTAGGAAGAGGCTTCTAGCTGCTTCTAGAGCTTGAGTTGGGCCTTTTAGCCTCATTGATGAATTTATGAGACCTAAAAAATCCTGTGGCACTATTATCAACTTGCGACTGTATTCTTCCTGCATCCGTTCATGTTCCCATCAAATGAGCTCTTTGGCAGCACCCAAGCTGTCCCCACTGCAGCTTTGGGTACTGACAGTAGGATGAGATAAAGCCATGTGGTCTCATGTTTTGTTCTACCAGTTCAAGCATGGGTAGTAGAATATGGAATGTATTCATGAAACAGCCAAGCTTTGAAAATAACGTTTTCTGGTAGTATAAAAAGCTACTACCCTTTGATAAACCCTCATAGCTGAAGAGTGAAGGCCTTGTGGAGAGAATCTAAAGAGGGGGTAGAGACATATGAAAAAGTGTTTTTGGTTCCCTGTTCAGAAGAATATACTGGAAAGGGAACCAGCAGTTAGTGTAATGGCTGTGTCACTGGACTTCCATGTGGTCGACTGCGGTTCACGTCCTGGACCCGGTGGATTAAAACTCACGCCAGGCGCATGTGCGTGTGCCCAAGATCCCGAGAGGAGAATGGAGGAGAAGGGATTGCGGTGTGACCATCCCCCCTGGGGGGGGGGTGATTTCTCGCTTTCTGTCTCTATATCTCTCTCTGTCTGGCAAGCGCACGTGCCCTATAGCGAAAATCTCTCCAAAAAAAAAATTTTATATATATATACTGGAAAGAATTGGTCCCTTCCTGTACCAGTGCATTTTAGGGAAGACATATTTAGGTTGATCCTATGTTTCTGTTGTGCCAGAAAGTTTCTAGTAACTAATTTTCTCCATTTTTAAACCAAGTATTTTATTTCCTATCCCCATTAGAACAAGCTGGGATAAATTACAGAGGCCACTGATGTTCCCCTAGATGCAATGGGACTGTTTAACGTAGTCTTTGAATATTAAAGCATCAACCTCATTAAGAAGTAAGAGGACTTGTAAGAATCATGATCATTTTGGTCTATTAACTCTTGCTTTCTTTATAATTGGAACCTCAATATTTGGGTATTTCACAGGTAAAAGAAAAAAAAAAAACAAGACAACTGAAATAGGAAGTTTTATGAAATTAAGCCACATGGAAATTTGAGTCATTTTCCAAGAAATTGTTTTGACCTAAACTAGATGCTGCTGAAAAGAGGAAGCCACTGTTGCCCTTTGGGTCAAATTCCCGGGTACTATCAAATGTTCCTTTATAAACAGGAATACTTATGTGGCACACAGAGATGGGTTTTCACCATTGTGCTTACTGGTAGAAGTCGGTGGGTTGCCAAGCATGAATTATAATTGGTCACACTGGTAGCATATCTGATTTTTATTGCAAACCACTTGAAGAATTAGAGTTAGTAAGTGAATGAGGGAGAGAGAGGATTAAAATTGGAGTAATCGGTAAATCTTACAAATTGGATGTTGCAGAGGAAAAGCCCAAGTTTTGCTTTTGTGCAGAACAGTTGGATAAAGGAGTGCAGATCACATGGTAACAGGTTATGCAAACCCTCCCAGCATCTAGCGCTCTGCTGCTCTCTGGGCTGATTCCATTGAGCAGCGTCATAAACAAGGGCAAATGTAAGTAAACATGCTAGACCAGCAGATAGTCTAATGGTTACGTTGCTGGACTCCTACGTAGTCGACTGTGGTTTGAGTCCTGGACCCAGAAGCTTAAAACTCATGCTGAGTGTATGTGTCCAAATTGTGAGGAGAATGGAGGAGAAGGGATTGTGGCATGGCCATTCCCCCCAGGGGGCTATTTTTTGCTTTCTGTCTCTGTTTCTCTGATGAGTACATGTACCTTATAGACAAAATATATCTCAAAAAAAGGAAAAAAGAACATGCGTTTTGATGTTTCTGCATATACATACTTTACTCAGCAGTCCCTACAGGGTATAGGATGCTTCTTCATTCTTTCCATGGTTCCTGTTTGATGGAGCTTAGACTATAAGAGAGTAGGGATTTTTTTTTTTTTTCCTGTAGTATAGATGGTCTAGGAATGTCCTCTTAAGTTGGAAAGTGTTTGCTGGATAATTTAGTATGTGCTAACCCATGTGAAATTCCATTTTTATTTTTTTAAGTGTTGTTAAAGTTGTGAGGTTTTGGGTTTAATAGGCATGGTGGCTATAATGACCTGGGAGGCAGGAGGTGGCTGAATCCCAATTACTGCAAAGTTCATAAGGAAGCTTGGAACGTAGCTTCAGAATATAAGAACCAGAGCCGGTCCCATTACACAGCAGTTAAGCCCTATACGCAGGGAGCTGGATTCCACATGGCTGACCCTGGTTCAGATCTCAACCCCAATGACTTGAAATACATGGCAGGCATATGAGTATGCCCTAAATCCTGAGGGAATGGTAAAATGGAGGCAAAAGAATTGTGTCATTATCATGCCTTATTGGAGTGTGCTTTTTCTATCATCTCTACTGAGTGTACATACCTTCTGGCGATAATAATAATAAAAAGGAAAAGTGTAAAATATCACCTTTTAGGAAATCTTATTTTCTCTAACATTTGAATAATGTCTAAGTTCCTTTAAGTTCCTTTTTTAATTTTTTTCCTGAGAGATTTTTGCTATAGGATGTGTGCACACACGAGAGACTGAAAGTGAGAAATCACCTCCCCTAGAGGAGATGGCCATGTTGTAATTCCTTCTTCTCCATTTTCCTCTTGGGACCTTGAACATTCACATACATGTGCCTGGTGTGAGTTTCAAGTTACCAGGTCTAGGACTTGAACTGTGGTCCACCATGTGGGAGTCCAGCACCTTAACCACTAACTATCACCTGGCCCATCTAAGTTACTTTTATGAGCATTGACTACCTAGTGTGATAAAACACATGTACGGTTTTCTACAAGCAAGTAAGGATAACCTTAGAGAGCTGAATCCCATTCATATTAAAAACTAGAGGAGGAAGGGACCAGCAGGTAGCGTAATGGCTATGTCGCTGGACTCCCATGTAGACGACCACGG